TAATTTATTTTACGATGACCTATAATATTGTATTTGTTATTTTAATGTTTACTAGCAAAAGTGCCCGTGTGTAGCACTGGGTTATTATACGCTTTCAAGTTGTCATTTGCTTGATTATTGTTTTAGTGATAAACGATGTTACGTTTGATAGCAAGATGTCTGTGATGACTATTGTCAATTCCAATGTTTTTTCATTGCAAAAATGATCATTAGGTTAGAGTGTGTGTGCACCCATAGTCAGTGGCATCTAGGATTTTGGCATACGGTATGCCACATCAAATTTCTCATATGCAATCTAACATGTGTGATGTAGTAAATTTACGGTATCCCTTCAAGATATGTGTGATGAAGTATATAGGAAAACATAAATATGTGTGTGGTAATAATGCATCAAAATTCTCATATCCTATGGTGAACTTTCTATACCACAAAATTATGTGTGATGAAGTATATAGAAAAGCAAATGGTAGTAATGCAGTTAAAGTATCCCTTCAAGAAATGATGAAATCTAACATCAGTTAATGATAATTGATATGCAATAGCAATTTCTAATTTTTTTCATCTATTGAGCAAACTTGCGGAGTGCCACGTTTCTATGAAGTAAATGTTATCGGTAATGGAAAAAAAAACATCAGCAAATATGTGCCTGTCGCTGCTACGCTGCCCATCTACTGGCCTATGACGCTTTTGGATTATGGCCTATGACTCTGCTCATGTGATGTGAATGCTACGCGGCCCATTTTTGGTCCAGATGGAGGCGATAGGCCAGGAGCCCAAATGTGCATCAGTCGTTTCCTATTCCCCTTCTCCTTTGCGTCTTCCTCAGTTCCTCGCGATTTCGACGGCGCGCCGCCGCCGCGCCGCTGAGACCCCAGAGGCCAGAGCTGAAGCGGTGAAGCTGTCTGCAGGGAGAAAGAGATGTTCGCCAGGTCTGGCGACCACCACGTAATATTGCTGGATTCGCCCCTGCAACTTGCATCAGCCTAGGGTATGCTGCACCATACCTGTGCCACCCGCTGGCTCAGTCTATGCCCATAGTGACGAATGATGCATGTAGTGACTTCATTAATTTTAAGGTCTTGCACTTAGTCTTTTGAAGGTGCTCATACACAAACAGTGAGTATGTGCGTAAGTTTACATAAATGTAAGAGGACATACATATATATAACATTAGTACCTATATGATTAAAAAATTGAAATATAGCATTTTTGAAATACACAATTAAAACATAAAAATATCATTTTGTTTCATATAATCAATTTGGTGTGGGTGAACCAACAGAACCGTTGAAGTGACCAAAACTATCATCTTACTACGTATTACTGGTATATTGCCCATGCTTATGCTTCGGGAAACAATACTTACAATTGATTTGGTGATAAAAACTATAAAGAGAAATTTACACTTCCATTAAGAAAGTGTGCTCTTAGAGCTTGGTACATTTGATAAGGGTACCAAGGGGACCCTAGACATAATTATTACCTCAAGTACCCATATAATTTTTTTAACAGCATCTGCTGTGCCCTAGAACCATCCAGCAGCCTCCCGAGGCATTTGCGTTGCAGCCAGCACCTATTGGTCGCCAAAATTATCAGCATGTTCGCTTGCTCGTATACGATCGCGGATTATAAGCTGGAACAATATTTTTCTCTCACACCAAACCAGCACAGCAGTAAATAATCCACGATCGTTTACGGCTGCCCGAACATGCTGTATATCAGTAAATGTATGCTTTAATCATATAAAGAAATTTAACCAAGCTCCCAGATAGGAAACATGAGAAGAATATTTGCAAGCTCTTGACTAAACCAATCAAATTTGAGGTGACTTACCTCAAGAGATCCATTAGTGAAGATAGAGATCAAAAAGAAAATACAATTTCAGGTTTTCTAGGCTCATGTCTAAATGAACAGGTAGCAGAATTGCTTTTGTTCATAATCCTTTGGCTACTCCAATGGCCCCTGTACCAGAAGTTTAGTGAAGTTCAGATAATTAGTAATATCATGTTGCATTCTAGAGTCAAATGAAATCGCTTTGAAGACCAAAACTCAACCAAACTCTTTGATTTCCATAAAAAACTTTAAGAAGGCACCAAATTTCACGATTAAACCCAAGTAAATCTAAAGAAGAATGAACAAAGAACACTGATAATGTAATATCAACACATGTGCTTCATCTACAGGAAAAGCATACATAGGACCATTTACAAAAACTATTTGATCTTTTTCTCCAAAGCTAACTGCTTTCTGAAAAATGCTAAGTGCCCAAGTGTAGCACTGGGTTATATATTAGGGGCTTTCAAGTTGCCATTTGCTCGATTATTGTTTTAGTGATAGACGATGTTACATTTGGTAGCAAGACGTCCGTGATGACTATTGTCAATTCCAGTGCTCTTTCAGTGCAAAAATGCTCATTAGGTTAGAGTGTGTGCACCCATAGTGATGAATGATGCATGTAGTAACTTCATTAATTTCAAGATCTTGCACTTAGTCTTTTGAAGGTGCTCATACACAGATAGTGAGTACGTGCGTAAGTTTACATAGATGTAAGAGGAGATACATATATGTAACATTTGTATCTATATGATTAAAAAATTGAAATATAGCATTTTTGAAATACACAATTAAAACATGAAAAATATCATTTTGTTTCATATAATCAATTTGGTGTGGGTGAACCAACAAAACTGTTGAAGTGACCAAAACTATCATCTTACTCCGCATTATATTACTTCCTATTTCTATTGGCAGAAACCAAACTGTGGCATCAAAGGTGCTTTGATCCAACGGCACCGTGCAGGTACGAGCCTATATACGGAGCACTACCCTACGATGGCCGGACGAGCAGGAACCAGCAGGCAATCCCAGCGGATGATGGACTGGTGGGGCGCAGGAACCCAAACTTAATCGGATGAAGCAACACCTAAACGGACAAGAAACCCAACAGACGGACGACAGGACACGATGGTTTCAGGGACAGAAGGGGGGCCGTCCTTTCGTGGGCTGGGATGCGGCTATCCCAGGCAAGCACGCCAAACAACTAATTGTGTATCACACGTGTTGGAGACAAAAACCTGATCTGATTTGGTTCCAAAGCCTCGCTCTCTCACTCTCGCACCCACTCTATAACTTTCTCCTCCCTTCCACGCTCACGCCCCGCTCCTACCCCGATGCGCAGCCATGGCTGCCTCCCTGGCCAACGGCGGCGCACTCCCCCACCTCGGCGTCCTCCTCCCCCACCCCGGCGGCGCCCGTCCCCCCACCCCACCGGGTCACCCACCAGGAGTGCCCCAACGCCCGCGGATCCGGTGGCCCTCTCTCCTACCCCGGCAAGATCAAGCAAGCCGCTGACCCTCCCCTACCTCGGCCGGCAGCGCCCTCCTCATATCCGGCAGCGTCTCCTCTCCCTCGGCCGATGTGCAGGCATGCACCATCTAACAAGCCTGTGCCACCGCAGTTGCCCACTAGGTAGGTCATGGTCGCGCAGCGATGCTGTGTTTCAAGTGTTTCTTGACGTTTTTCAGACATGTTGCAAGCCCATGTTTCAAGTATTTCAGTTGTTTCAGGTGTATGTTTCAATTGTTTTATGCGAATGTGACAAAAGTAGATCAGGATGTTGCATATGTTGCAATGGTTGTACACGTATGTTGCAAGCGTCTATCCTCAATATTTCATTTGTTTTTTACAGTATGTTGCAAGTGTTTCAGAAGCGCGTCTCAAGTGTTTCATCTGTCTTCTTTTGTATGTTGCAAGTGTTACAACTGGATGTTCTAAAAGTAGATCGGGATGTTACACATGTTGCAATAGTGTTTTAATTGTATGTTCTAAAGGTTTCATCTGTTTTAGACGTATGTTACAAAGGTTTTTATCTAGATGTTACAAAAATAAATTGGGGTGTTGCACAACGCGGCCGGTGGCTGTCACTGCTAGGGCGCAGCCGTGTGTCAACCCACGTGGGTTTCCCCATGCGGGGCGTGGGGTGGCGCAGGTCCCTGCGACGGACGTGAAACACGGTCTTTGGGGGGCGCGGGCGGGCGTGGGCCAGGATGCGAGCGCAGAGGCGGCGCGGTGTGTCGGAGTTGCGTCCCGGACGCGACGTCCCATTCGGACGTTAGGGCGCTAGGCGTACCAAAATAAAAATCATGAAACGGAAAAATATCAGGAAAAAAGAACGGGCGGTAAAAAGAATGCCGAAAACATGAACAGGAACACATGGAACATCGAAAAAAATGAAACCAGGAAACGGGAAAAATCTGATTCAGATCACGTTTCTTTTTTATCAGTTTTTGTTTGGTGATGAATTGGGATTCTAGAGAACTCTCGTTCTTGTTGATTATGATATGTCCATGACGGAATCGGAGAAGAGTAGGATACGGATAGTAGCAGATGGTTGAGTTGGTACAGAAACACAGACAAGGAAAAAAGAAACGAACACGGAAAATGGAACACTTTTTTATTAGGATTTTTATTCAGGATCGGTGGTGTTGATTAGGATTCTTAGTTATTTATCCACGTTAACTCAAGAAGACGTGCATATATCATCAAAACATGATTGTATATAGGTGTGAAGTACATTCACAGAGTTAGTTAGTGGAGCCCAACCAAAAAAAATAAAGGAAAAAAATTGGCTCTATAATATTATTAGTATAGATTATTTTAGAACAAAAGAGCAAACCATGCGTGAGTGAAAAAAAAAACTTGGCCCATTACAGTTTTATATATGGAATATAATATAATATAGTATTAATAACTCCATCCACCAAAGTGACAGGTGTAAACCTTTGTATGCCAAACACTTTCACAGCTGGAATTGACCCTTCTGATTTTGCCAGCAAAAAAATTATACTAGTACATCAATTTTTCCCCACTTAAACTTCAACTGCAAAAACCAGAAAGAAAAGAAAAGGAAAATGGTTGCTTTCAGCATTATCTCCGTTTGCTCTCCCGCCAACCAACGGACCATTCCCAGCCGCTGAAAACTCTCCACCCCGGTCGCGGCCATGGCCGCCACCGCTCCCATCCGCCTGCTCTCCCCCTCCCGCTCGCCATGGCCGCCACAAGATCCGAGCCCCAGACCCGTACCGCCCCTCCACGCTTCGCCGGCGCGCTACCGCCATCTCCGCTCCGTCCGCTGCGCGTTGTCCCCGCCGCCGCCGTCGCTCGACCTCCCTCTCCTCCCGTTCCAGCCCGCGGAGGTAAGATACTTTGGATAGGACAGTTGTCTGGTTGTTCAGATTTCAGTCAGACCCGATTCTTTAGTCTGCCGTTGCCGACGTTGATGTTGATTATTCAGAGAAGTGAATGGTCTATATCCATTCCATCGAGTGCAATCAGTTGGTCCCTGAAAAATGAACCACAGAACCAACCAGTTCTACGATGGTCAACCAGAATTTTGCATTGGCTGCACTGCACGATGTGTTTCTTTTGTAATAACTGAAGATTTCAGACTAATTTGGAGACTTTTTTACGGCAACTACGTCGGATCCATTTGAAGTGCCAGCCTGAATCCTGAATAATAAACTGAGATACTGCAGGAAGGTCCGTTTATAAACCAAAGCAATTGCATTACAGGCTGAACCCTTACAGGCAGGTGAGACAGGGGGCAAGACAGCAAACAGCTAGCGAAGAAGGGAGAGGATTACAAAACAGAAGAATTACTGAAGACTCAACGCAAGACTTAGCGATGGCAGAGTTTGCTCTGTAGCCCAGAGTTGACAGTTTTTCAGCGCTAAGGAAGAGACGACAGTACCATCTGTTTCCAAATCTCTTCTGGCAGAGGACAGACATCTGTTTGCAAATCTTGTCTGAAGACAAGCATTTTAGCATTTCCAGATATTAATTTTGGAGATTACTTTTGGATCTTATCTATTCAATTTGTATTGTGCATTCTATCTGTTCAAAAAACTTGCAGTATCATATGAATTTTCTAAATTGCTATAAGTTCCTTCAATCTGTTATTTTTCATTTTTTTTTTCTGAAACGATGCAAGAGAGCTGCATGTCATTTCATTAATCAGATTAATCAGCAGTTTGCATTATCAGTAAAATCTGTGGGATTCTGCTAAGATAATGAAAATGTTATAGGTGCTGATACCATCTGAATCCAAGACTCTACACTTGTATGAAGCAAGATATATAGCATTGCTAGAGGAGGTACGAATTTTTTGTTCAGTACATTATTTCTTTCCTTTTTCCTTCAAAATGAGGATACACCCCATTTTCATTATTGAATAACAGAAATACAGAAAGTCTCAGTTATCAGAAACTGGGATAAGAGAATGCACCAGTCGATTAATCTAGGACTAAACTACTTGATTCATGCAAATGCAACTAACCTAGACTAACACGCACCTAAAACGGTTAATAACCAGAAACTCCAGAACATCACAAGTAATAAGCTAATTATTACTAGTCCACATGATCAGATATTCTTGATGAAACATACTTGTAACAATTAGCCATGATGAAGAAATACATTTCTTTTTTCTTGAGACTAAATCTTCTTTTTGTTTGTTTATCAAATTTGTGTCCACCTAATTTTCTTTTAAGATTTGTTAGTTTTTCTTGGATCCAAGGGAACACAGACTTAGAAACATGGTTTGACAAAAAATTTAAGTAATATGGTTTTAATGTTGACTGGAAGAAAGCGTAGACAGTCGGTGAAATTGTAGTTGAGGGGTATTGAGAACCCTATATATGCGATTTTGGTGCATCATTCTTGAAACACAAGATCTCCATATTTCTTTGGTAGGATACTAACAACTCAAACCATGAGTAGAGTGTTATGCAACATCCTTACTGATTTATTTCTAATACTTACTTAACAGGCCTTGTACAAGAGGAAAAATTCTTTTGTTCACTTTGTGCTTGATCCAGTTGTAGACAGCACTACTAAAGCTTCATTTGCTGTAAGATATGGTTGCTTGGTCCACATAGAAAGTGTAAGCTATTGTCCCTCATGCGACACCTTTCTATAAGTTTACTTACAGGATCTCACTCCTGTCTTTTTTCCTGCCACATTTTGTGTCAATGGTCTGTCTTTAGTGTAGGTTCAAAAGCTGGAGATTGGAGCACTAATATCAATTAGAGGAGTGTGCCGTGTAAACATTTCAAATCTTTTGGATGTAAGCTCTTTCTTTCTTTTCTGGTTTTGAAATGTTATTCCATTGTTGATGTTAAAATCATATCATATTAATTCTCGGGTACTTTTAAGTATATATATTTGTATACTACTTATCATTTTCTATAAATTGTCTTTATAATACCTTTGAAGGCCGACTTTTGCTTGATATATGAACAGCTCAATTACTTTTGATATCTTGTGAGGGATGGGAGATGTGAACAGCTGAATGCTAGTGTTATAGTTGTACTGCCTCAATCTCACTATCCCTTGTACTATGATGTTTGAACAAAACTGTCGCCTTCCAGTTCGGATTGAATTGCCCATATGCTCTGGTTCTGTAACCTTATTTACTAAAGCTATAAGCACAGTAGCTCAGAACGTTTTTATACCACTTCTTAAGTATTCTGAGTTGGAGCTGCTTCATTGGGGGCATGACGAAGCTCGGCGATGATGACATGTGTTAGGATCTTCCTAGGTGTATTAGTGGAGCCAGTTATGCACAGGTGGCGGTGTCTTGGTGGCTTTGGGTAAGGGTCCACCATGGGAAGTCGAAGCCGCTTTGTCGCTTTTGCGCCAAAGCTAGGCAACGATGACGCATGATGGGCTTAGTCGCTAAGTGCTATAGCGACTGAACTATTGTGCGGGTGCATCACGGCTTTGTATGAACTTCTATTCTTCTTAATTGAGCGGCAGAGCTCCTGCTTTTTTGTTCAAAAAAGGGTATTCTGATACTGGCAAGAAGAAATTACAGAAGCCCTGAACCACATCTTTGTCTTTGTGGACCCAGATGGAGCCCTATTTCCGTGGTACAGTTTCTCCAATGATGGATGAGCCTTATGAAGCTATTGAATTAGGGACAAGAATTTCCAAGCTAAAAGAATCCATGTGTAATTTACACAACCTACAAATGAAGTTGAAGGTTTGATCACTACCTTAAGCCCATTCAGCAATTTGAACATGTTGAATATTGCTTCTTATCCTAGTCGTTTCTTATTTCAACATTTCAAATTTAGGTACCTGAGGATGAACCACTGCAAACTAACATCAGGGCATCTCTGTTGTGGTCTGAAAAAGAAAATTTTGAAGAGTATAATGAATCTTTTATCCCTGGACACCTAGAACGTCTCTCATTTGCTGCGTACCAAACAGTTTCAGGTGATATTTCATTCTGATTTCATCGATCTAGTACAAAATATTCAGGTCTTATCATATTGATCAAACTTTCACTGCACATCTATATATTCTATAAATGAGAAATATCTGTTTTACATATGACGACCATCCAAAGAGATGATGCACGCATACATCAACCGCCGTCATACCTGATCCGTATATTCGTAGGTATCTAACTTTTTAACTGTACACTACAGGCATGTCAGATGAAGAACTTCTCACCCTGCAAAACTATAAGATACAAGCAATGGATTCGATAGACACCCTTGAAAGGCTAAACAATGGTATCAAGTGTGTAGAACATAATATTGGAATGATAGCTGCAAGGCTCGCCATTCAAAATATATGATCTTCAGTGGCAATGTTCAATTTATATGCTAAATGATGTCCATGATGCTAACTCCATCTGGTCAAAAGACTCTGACCTCAAAGCTTTTCCAGTTTCAACTGTAAACATGGAAGGTGTGATACATTCCGATTGATTCTGACATAACCGTGGTATTCATTCAGAGAACAACATGAAGATGAGCAACACAATATGAAGTTACATGCTCATTTTGTATGGGTAGGGTAACAGAAAACACCATAAGTTGTTCAAACATCCAGTACAAGCTTATTCCATCAGATAAACCATACAAGTGTTTATCAGGTATCGAGATAAAACATAAAAATTGTTTGGTCAAATAAAACACACAACCTTATTCAAATACCAAAGACTACAAGTCTTGCTTGAACTAAGTAATTTTTGAACGAAAAAAGTAATGTTTAATGGAAAGAAATATTATGCCGAGCATGAGTCCTGATGGACTTATTAATCTTTGACTTCTTTCTGACCTTTAGCAATTCTGGTGCCAAAGAGAAGAACGGTGCGACCTCCGTTGTTGCCGGGCACTGTCTGCTCTGGTGGATTCTCCGCTTGATTCTGTGAGGGGTCTGCCAGTTCTGTTCGAAAAAACTGTGAGAGGAATGTAGAGAAGGTTTTGGAGCCAATGAGATGGGTGGAGGGATGCTCACCATTTGCAGGCACCACTCTCGCTTGTGGTGGATTCTCCTCTTGAGTCTGCAAGGGAATTGCAGGAAGGACACTGCTGGTTGTTGCAGGGAATGAGTACCAATTGCTAGCCATAGCAGCTGGGAAATGACCGGTCACAGGATTGCCAGCCATAGCCGCCATCCCTTGAGTTGGCTGGTGCACCGGCATCGACACAGGAGGGGCATGGATGGCACTTCTGCCAGTTAGGAAGAATGGCAAGCAGCGGCCCATGGTATTGGCAGGGGCATCAATAGCAGTAGCAATGCCAGAACGAGGAGTGGAGGAGCTACTGGCAATGGCATTGCCAGGCACTACTGCTATCTCTTGTCTTCATGAGAATGAGAATAATGCATGATTGATGCTGCGGTGTCCGGGGTTTTCGAGTGCCACTACTGCAATCTGTTCCGGTGGATTCTCCTCTTGATTGTGCAAGGGGGTTGCCAGAAGGATGATGCTGGTAGTTCCACGGAGTGACCAGCCAGTGGAGGTGTTGGCAGCTGAAAAATGACCAGTCATAGGATTGCTAGCCATAGCCATGGTTCCTTGAGGTGGCTGGTGCACTGGCGCCATTGATGAAAGATGCGCGAGGATGGCGCTTCTGGGAGCGCCAGCCAGGATCTGCCAACCCATGGTATTGTAAGGGCCATCCAGAGCTGCATCTATGCTGTTGATCCCTGTCGCTTGGAAGGGCTTTTCCTTAGCAGAAGCAGCAGCAACAACAGCATGGTGAGGGTGCACAATCATCATGTGGGAACTGAGTTCCTGCTCTGTCTGGCGCTCATGGTTGCACACTTTGCACTTGTGTGGACCACTCTGCATGTCTAGATTTGACTTGCCCTTCTTCTCCATGATCTTGTGATGACTAGAAGTGTGGCCTCCCAGCGCCTGGGGTGTGGAGAACAATGTGTTCTTACACTTACAGCAACTGTACACATTGCCACAGCCTTTGTTGCTCTCACCTCCAGCGGCAGTAGATGTGCTGTAGGTGTGGCTGCCGCTGCTACAGCCAGCAACACCTTTGCCTCCATAGCCGGCTTCACTATAGCCAGCAACACCCTTTCCATTGTCGACATTGCCACAGCCAGCGAGATATTTGCCACAACTGTTGTTGTTCCTAGCAACAGCTTTACCATTGGTATCATATTTAGAGCGAGCACCAGCTTGACCAGAGCCATTGTTCCCCTTCACCAGACCAGGTGCAGTTTGAGTGCCCGCACTCACAGCGGTGGCAAGAGCAGCTCTTGTGATGGTCGCGGCTGCCACAGCTAGTGGAATTGTCACTGCCGTTGTTGATGCAGCAGCAGGAGCTCCTTCAGTGTTCACAAATGTTGCGGACGCATGAGCTGCAAGCATAGAAGTTGCCACGGCCACCGCTGGAGCTGGAGCCATGGCCAGAGCTGCCGTCGCATCAGGAGCTGGGCCAGAAGCTCCACGAGACCCCGCGACAGCGATGACAGGATTTGCATCGTCATCGTCGTCGTCAATGACGATCATGGGAATGTCATCACCGTTGCGGTCGTTCTCTGTGACCTCGTTGTTGTCATGCAGGGTGACCGCTATGTTGCGAATAGTGACATTAGACTCAGATCTAGAAACTTTTACCTCAGTAGGGGCATCTTTAGGGCACCCGTTGCGGCGGCGTGGTTGCCCCATGTTTCATCCAGCGACTTCACGGTCCTCATCTTTGACATCTGCTTCTTCCTTCTCCTCTTTGGTGTGGGTGCATCCTCCTCAGAGTCAGAGGTGAGGTGGTCGTGCTTGTGCGACCTCATGTGCCCACACAGCACCATCTCTTGACCAAAGGTCATGGAGCAATCGACGCAAGTGTAAGGATGGTCGTCCACCACAGCAATGGTGCTAAGACCAGCTAATCTCAGCCTAGCCACCTCACGCGAGCACCGCGGTGGTGAACCACACTGCTCGGCAGGTGCCTCAGCTTTGCCCTCAAGGCGGTGGCCAGATCTGGAGAGCTCGTGGCTGCCAAATCCGGAGAGCCCGTGGCTGCCAGATCCGGAGAGCTCGTGGCGTGATGCGCATGGTGATCCACGATGGAGAGCAGCAGCTTCCATATCGCCTACTCCAACAGCGCCGCCATCTCCTTCATCATGCAGCTGCGTGGAGACGAGAGGCGGGCGGTCCCTGGTGTTACCATTTTTGGTGGTGGTGGTGGCGGCGGCGGCGGCGACGGGAGCGGTTTCTGGTTGGAATCCATTGGTCGATGGGAGAGACTAGGGTCTAATCAAGGGATTAGTAAGATCGATATGGTAGTGCTGCAGGAGAGGCCTATATTTATTATGGACAGTAACAGCTGGATTGCCAACTTTTCAAGTAAGCGTCACTTCTTTTCTTAATTCCATATATGCCCCTATGTCGGATTCCTATTACATGGCGGTTCTTAACTTATGGGTAGCCTACAAATGCTATGGACATCTCTCCGGTCATTGATAGATAATGATTTGTTATTCTAGGCAAGTGATGCTGCTGATAAGTGAAGAAGCAAAGTATTAGCACTTAGCTTTGGAATCAATATCCCATGTTTTGTGGCATTTTCACTTTGGAGTTTTTATCATGCATGTAAAGACCTTGAATCTTATGAGAAAATTTTGGTTGTTGGCTCGAAACATGAGAGAACATAAGCATCTAGTAAGTTTCTTCCCATATAAAATGGCACATGCAACTATAGCAAATGCTCCCCTTGCCATAATCAACAAAACTGAATACTAACATTGTGTTTCCCAATGGAAAGTCTTCTATGGTATAGCATAACCATAATCCATGCCAAAGTCGTTGTTCTCTATTAACCTCAAACTTGATGATGTAGCATGACCATGTAGGCATGGATTGTTGTTGAAGTTAAGTGTGAAATGGAGCCATCTTAGAAACTAATTAGGGTTGAAGACTATTTATGGTCCTCAAAATATTGACGGTCATAGGAGACTAGGGTTCACTACAAGAGATATCTACGACATTGCACTAATGTCGTAGAAACTGAAAATTTTGTCGCATTTCACAGTTTACAACGCATGCGCGACGAAAATGAATTCGTCGCCTATTCCATGTAGCTAAAGGTGTTCTGCGACAAAACTGATATTATCATCGTAATTTTTGCGACGTTCATACTTGCGTCGTTGATTTACGACGCTTGATTATCGTCGTTATTAAGCAAAGAAAACGTCGTGAACCATTGACCATGGATGTATATGCAGGTGCCACGTAGGATAATAAAATGTCATACAATATTATTCATATAATGTAGTAATTCAAAACTATATATATTGTAGCTAACATAACCAGTTTATAACCAACAAGCAAATTGAAAATGGCCACATTCATTACACCACTTGGCAAATCAGATCCATTAATAGTTGCATGTCCAAATAATTCTCATGTCAAACTCAACCAAAAATACATGAACTTCACATGTCCAAGTTATTACTAGGTCCAACAAGTAGCAAAATAATCGCCACCAACTCTTGTACACGTGCTGCAGCAGTAGTGTTCTCTTGGAGGCCAGTGACTTGAGGCCAACATTTTGAAGAAATTTATTTGATGGCAAAACATGAGCAACGGCTTCTCCAAGAGTCTGTGATTGTTCCCCATCTGGTCAAACTGAGCCATGATAGCTTTCATTTGAGCCTAAAATGACAAAAAATAGTTTAGATTAGTAGCTAAAATGGGTTGCACAAGGGTAGCCAAGAATTAGAGGATAGTCATATTGATTGATGATGACGTAGACATTGTTGGGCCACTTTAGGACTCGTGGTTGTGGTTGGATAATGGAGCAAACCTATCATTCCATCGTGTTGTATTGTTGTTTGGATCTATATAAAACAAATCATTCAAAGATCATGTTGACCTTGGCCTCATCATTGTTGTCCTCAATCGAAGTCTTGGACAGTGCAAAGTGTGAAATGATAGCGAAGTTTGCCTAGGGATTTCTCCTGCAATAATCCCTTAGATGCCAACTTCTCTAGCTTTGCTTCTGTGGTTGTCGGCTTCTTCCAGGCTAAGCTAACAATCAGGGCGCTCCAGTGAATTGGGCGAGCCATCGCCTCGATTTTTTTGCAAATGGAGCTCTTGCTTTCTAACTTTCTTGGTGGTTCTATTTTCGTTGTGCCATGGATCTAATATTGGCACACTTCTTTGTTACCATTCACTGGGGGCTACTTTCCTAGGGTTCGCTCTCTCTAAGTGGCGGCGCAAGAGATAGAGGAAAGAAGGCGAGAGGAGGATGATTTTTCTTAACCCTAAGGGGGTTTATTTATAACAGATTTTGCAAGGGATAACTTTGATACTAAGGAGCCTTCGGGCCCAAATCAGCATGGATCTGTTACCGTTACAGCGCCAACGGGTGTCTTCCCAATTACTGCGGTGGCGCACAGTTTCACACGTGACGGCATCAAACCCTAATGGTTGTGATGGTCAATATTCCTACGTCTGGTCAGCGTATCAAGAATAATACTCGATTAAATGCTACACTTCTCAGAGTACTCGGATTTCTTCCAATTTACCCGGTTTTTGTCGACTACCAAGTATTATTTAGTCAGGTCCGCCATACAACACCACAACACAGTATGCCAAAGGCTTTCAGATGATTTTTAGATGTTTTTCATTCAAAACTCGGATAGATTACAAGTGTTACAAGTACAAGGCCTACTCGGCCATATCAAGATACAAACATTCTACAACCTACTCGGCAGGAGGTACCCGACTCGATGTACCTGGCTTCATGGACAGACTAGCTATACATCTAAGTCTGGAGAGAAGTGCGGCTCTGCCTAGCCTAAGAATTTGCATGGAGCGGAGAGCTGCGAACAATTCTTGTCCATACAAAGGAATCAAACTCGTGCAACTGAAAGCATGGCTGCTAGTATGCAGGAGGTACTAGCTAGCTACGCATCCTACAAATCCCAGCTCTCGACGTCTGGACTCACTCGGATCGGCAGCCGACCCTTCATGCACAGACATCGAGTGGCATCGTGGAAAAACTGACATGGGATTGTTAGGTGCTTAGTGCATCTAACAGGAACAAGAGTTCTTCTAGCTGCGGGTTCTGGGCTACTCTACTAAACACAACCCTAGGATTAGCCTGCCTCTAATCCCTATAACAAGAGTTCTTCTAGTTGCAAGACATGGATTTACAGACTAATCCAACTACTCCTGGGGGCTCTGACATCTCGGACACAACCATATTTGATAGCGAGAGGCTAAGTTTCACAACTTCTACTGAAATGTTATTTGATTCAGCTCATCAAGGGGGTATTTATTGCATGATGATGGTCTATCATAGACTCATTTCATGGAGTTGTTACACTCTTTTTGATAAGCATTCACGAGCTCACAGTGGATGCTGAGTCAATGCTGACACGCTCCTATAGTACGTGTCAAGGACAAGATTTTGTTCTTCCATGTGACTCTATAGTACAACAAAGGATGAAGCCTTTCATTGCTTCTCATGTGGTCTATGAGATGGATGATTACTTGCTTTTATACAGAGTGGGGTGATATGGGGTCCCTATTGAAATGGCTGCCCACCCGAAGCTCTGTTATTGCAAGTGATTGAACTATATTCAAGATACTGGTCTTTGTCCTTTGTGAGATTTACTCGGGGGCTTTATAGCTTTACTCGGGGCTCGGATTTTATGTTGCATATTCAGTCCCTTTTATAGCCCGCCAGTCAGGTTACTGAGCTTCACCCTTGAGGATGTCTACATGTATCAGACGCTGCTTTCGTGACTCTATTGGAGGAGTGGGCAACAACGCCGTCTGTCGATCAAGGCGACGCTAGGGAGTCCCCAAGCCTTGGGCTCTTGTAGCGATCCTCAATTTCCACGAAGGGAAATTCACAGATATGATTTATAACGTGATAGTCCCAAAAGATAATTCCATCACATTATCAGTCAACAACTAATATCACAAGATCATACATCGAATACCTATCTTAGAAGTACAAATAGAGAGGTTTAACATTTATTACATCGCCACTTGGCGGAATCATCAGAGTTCAAACAGCATCAGAGTGAACATCTAAGGTGTGGAAGCATCTTCTTCTTCTCCAAACTCGAGCGCAGGACAACGCCTCTAATCCTCCTCTCCATCGGGCTAGTCATCATACTCAACACATGCCAAATAACTTTCAGTACGATTTGTACTAGCCACTGGCTCCCACCCTATGCTTTTGTGTTTGCTTTGTGGTAGGTGAAAATGCAAGGGTAGAGCAAAAGATACTATTGTGGTTGTAGTTTTCCTATTCATCATTATTTTATAAGTATTTCACAAGTTTTAATCCATCTCATCCAGACACATTCTCCCATCCCATCACACATATCTCACCACACTCTCACTCTCTAGGCGACAAGGACAACTCCCTCTCGTTCCTTGCCTCAACGGCTCACGATCCACACATTCACCCAGGGGGAAGAAAAGAAGGGACTCCTCTCTCTAGTCAAGTGAAGCAGTAACATAGGAAAGGTCCATAGCCGTGAAAAGGCAGCATATGTATCGATTGATCAACCAAAACTCTACAGAGGTTTTACATCCATCAGATACACCATCATCGGCGATGCCCCGCCTAGGCTGATCCGTGCTTACCTCCCAAATTAGAACGAAACCATCCTGCCACTCAGCCCTAAGGCACCACAGATCAAACACCGGCATGCTGAGACTATGAAATGTAAATACCGGGCCAAGGGCAATACGCACCTAGAAAGGATCGGGTTCCAATGCCCTCACCTCCCACACTTCAACTACAACCTAGCAGTAATGGCATCGCCCCAGGTTAGTCCGCAACCGTCTCCTTATCCCATGGAGCTAGTGGGTGTAGGTTCCTATGAACCGGTTCCCAAAACATATAAGTCCTTAGGATGACCAAACAAGACATCTTCACAAGTGGATCCAACACCCCGTGCTTCCAACAGCACCTCTATTCCGGGGATTCGTCCCACGAAGACACTCCTCAGAATCTATACCATACAAACCGGTACCCGCCATAGGTACAACTCTCAAGGAGCGCTCTGGTCACACTCTGGTAAGACTTTCTCATTAGCTCATCATAGAATCCTGTCTGGTC